TCAACCTCCTCCTGGGTTGCCTCTTTACTAACACCAGGGGAGACGGCAGATGTCATGCATCTCTCAGAACAGTTCTCACCCCATTTCTTGACCCTACCATCAGACCAATTTATAACGGGGTTGTGTTTCTTCAACCACGGAAAACCCAAGATAATTTGAGGTTTAAGAGAATCAAAGATAAAGAATTCGTCTCTCTCACGGTGATTACCTGACACAACAATTTCCATTTTATTAGTTTTACAAGAGATGGAAGAGATGGTCTGGCCTGTGAGAGCTGCTACTGCCATCGTGGGGTAGAGGGCAGTAGTTGAAATCTGAAGTTTATCAACCAGGCTCCGACTGATTAAGTTCTGTTCTGCTCTGGAGTCAATTAATGCCTGTGTAGAATAATTAGAAATATTAACACATAGCGTCACCGGTAAACAAAAATTATGCTCAGAGGAAGAATAGTATTTACCCACCAGAATCCTCCGATTTACTGATGGGCTCTGTCTTTTAGCCGAAGCCTACAGGAAGGAAGTTCATGCCCCTTCTTCCCACAATAGAGGCATTCGTTGTGAGAAATACGATGCTGACGCTCCTCCGGAGACAGCCGAGTCCTTCCGATCTGCATCGGTTCGGGACCCGCCGAACCGGGAGAGGTAGACTGTGAGCTATTGTTGGGAACCAAATACTCACGGGAAAAGTAGTCCTCCTCTAAAATGTGCTCTCTGAAGCGATTATCAATTCTGGTGGCTAAAGTTATGAGCTGGTTGAGGTAGGATGGAACGTCACGGATGGCGAGTTGATCCTTAATAGGTTTGTTAAGTGCATGAATGAATGCACCTCGGAGAGCCGTCTCACCCCAGTCAGACTCCTCCGCCAAAATGCGGAACTGGATGGAAAACTCAGCCACAGTTTTATTGCCTTGTTTTAATGAGAAAATCTTTTGCGACGCCTCTTCTTGCAACAGAGGTAGGTCGAATACTTGTCGAAAGTCTCTGAGAAAAGTGGAGATGGTTAGGGAATCGATGGTGCGTCTACGTAAGTAGGAACGCGCCCATCGAAGAGCTTCGCCCTTTAGGGCGGAAATAATGAAAGTAATACAGGAGGCATCAGATGAGTAGGTTATTGGAGCTCTATTGAAGGCCAACTCACATTGAAGAAGAAATCCGGCGCATTTTTCGGCTTTAACTTCGAAACACTCGGAGGGACGAATGTCAGGTTCTTGAAGGGGCTGTGGGACCGCGGGTGCCAGGGGTCCGGACGGACCCGGAGTCTGGGTCATCCTAAGCGGGGGAACCAGGTCCTTCAAACTCTGCTGGACAGAGTGAACCATGCCACCGAGCTGTTGGAGGTTAGTTTGAATCTCCTGTTGTTGAGAGAGAAATTGTTGAAAAATGACATCATGCTCATCAATACGTTTACTTTGAGCCATTATGGACTGCTGTACCTGTCCGTCCTCAGTTCTGCCTTGAGGGTCTGTTTGGCTGGGACATTCTGACATGATTTGATCAAGGGTAAGACCCCAGATGGCAGAACCGAAGCACAGACAGATAACCGGGTTGCAAAAATAAACCTCTTTATTGTCTTTCCAGGGGAAACGGGAGTGGAGCTAGGTTCTGCCTTGATGCAGGAGCAGGGGAGGCGCGCTGTGTGGTTCTGGATACCGGAGGACATCTCAAAGAGAAGAAGGTGAGTACCTTTGCTGGTTTGTTGATGCTTCACTGAAGGAACAGAGAGTGCAGGAGCGGGTTGGAGGTAGATGAATGGTTGAAGGGACATTCCATAGGAGGATCCTGCCTTGGTGTTGAAGCCTTGGAGGGCCCGAGACAAATCTTGACGTGGAAGTCAAAAAACTGAAAAAACAACGAAGCGTGGAAGCTTGTTAGACCAACATTGTCAGGAGACAATAACAGGCTGACCATTACTTTACCATGTAAAGGGTAATGTCCCAGCACTAGAGAAGAGCCTGGCTGCAGCTTTTATGGAAGGAGCAGAAACCGTTCTCCAGAGCAGGCGGCAGGTGAAGATGATGATCAATTAGCTCAGAGCAGCAACTGTGGAAGATAATTAGTGGCAGGAAGGAAACCAGAACTCCCACAGAGCCCCCCCCCCCCCCCCTCAAGAATCGCCTCTCGGCGATCTGATCCACTTTTCAGGGTGGTCCCTAAAAAAAGAAGAAATCAAATCGGGGTCCAGGATCTGAGCCCTGGGAACCCAAGAGCGTTCCTCCGGCCCGTACCCCTCCCAGTCGACCAGGTACTGCAGACCTCTGCCCCGGCGGCGAACGTCCAAGAGGCGCCGGACAGAGAAGGCCGGGGCGTCTGCGATCAGACGTGGAGCAGGAGGAGGATCGGCCAGGGGGTTAAGGGGGCTAGAGGAGACTGGCTTTAGGAGGGAGACGTGGAAGGTTGGGTGAATCCTCATGGATCGAGGCAGTAGTAGGCGAACGGCCGAGGAGTTTATGATCTTCGCAATGGGGAAAGGACCAATATACCTGAGAGCCAACTTGCGGGGGGTATCTGGAAGGGAAATGTCTTTAGTGGACAACCATACCCGTTGACCCACCCGGTAGTGGGGCGCAGAAGAGCAACGTCTGTTGGCATACTTCTTGTTCAGGTTGGCGGTACGTAGAAGAGCCGCTCTTGTCTGTCGCCAAATCTTGCGACACCGTCGGACATGTAGTCGGACCGACGGAACTGGGACCTCAGTCTCCAGGCTAGGGAATAAGGAGGGAGAGTACCCAAGCAAAGCCTTAAAAGGGGACATACCGATGGCAGATGATACCCGAGTGTTGTGGGCGTATTCCACCCAAGGCAAATGGTCCGACCAGGTGGAAGGGTTGTCCTCAATAACGCATCTCAAGGCGACCTCCAGCTCCTGATTGCACCTCTCTGTTTGTCCGTTCGACTGAGGATGGTACCCAGAAGTAAGGCTCGTCGTGGCCCCCAGGCCCTGGCAAAAGGCCTTCCAGACCCGGGAGAGGAACTGGGGCCCTCTATCGGAGACGATATCCATAGGAATTCCATGCAGGCAAAAAACATGGTTAGTAATAAGTTTAGCAGTCTCAAAAGCAGATGGTAATTTAGGTAGGGGAATGAAATGCGCAGCCTTGGAAAAGCAGTCCACGATAGTGCAGATGGTGATGTTATTGGAGGAAGGTGGCAAACCCGTGACAAAATCCAGGGCAATATGAGACCACGGACGATGGGGCGTAGGAAGAGGAAGCAAGAGTCCTGCAGGGGGTTTATTGATGTTCTTATTCCGTGCACATGTATGGCAGGCTGCAACAAACTCCCTCACGTCCCGGTTCATGTTGGGCCACCAAAAATACTCCTTGGCCAAATGCAACATGCGAGAGACACCTGGATGGCAAGAGAACTTAGCTGTGTGAAGCCAAGTAAGAACCCGACTCACCATCGAAGAGGGCACAAAAGTCTTGCCCGGTGGACCAGCACCCGGGTCCGGTTCGGTAAGTTGGGCGTTCCGTATATCCTGTTCGATAGCCCAGGACAAGAGACCAACTGAGCATGTCGCTGGGAGTATGTCCTCCGGGGAGTCGGAACCTTCAGAGGAGGAGAATTGGCGAGAGAGTGAATCGGGTTTGGTGTTCTTAGAGCCAGGGATGTACGTGATGGTAAAATTAAAGCGAGCGAAGAAGAGGGACCATCTGGCCTGACGTGAGTTGAGTCTCTTTGCCCCCTGGATGTAGGCCAAATTATTATGATCAGTCCAGATGACAAAGGGCAGCTTGGAACCCTCCAGCCAATGTCTCCACTCCTCCAAAGCCAACTTAATGGCCAATAGCTCCCTATTACCAACATCATGGTTTCTCTCGGATGGGGTGAGATGGCGAGAAAAGAAGGCACAAGGGTGAACCTTGCTGTCAGGACCTCTCTGGGAGAGGACAGCCCCCACCCTGGAATCAGAGGCGTCGACCTCAACAATGAACTGTTCGTGAACATTCAGGTGGGCAAGGATGGGTGCCGAGGAAAACAATGATTTAAGCCTTTGGAAGGCAATCTCAGCATCTTGGTCCCATGCGAAGGAACACAAGGTGGAGGTTAACCCAGTGAGA